GCAAGTGCCCCAGCAACAGTGGCGATTGGTTTCATGCCCCCACGAACATTTTCTTCGCGGAGACGCTCGCGCATGCGCTGGTAGAAGTACATGCTCTCAGGATTCAAGCCGATGCTGAGCTCATTGGTACAAACCTGAATGATGAAGCTTTTGTCGTGATAGATGGGCCTGCCGAATGTGGAATACCGTGGCAACTTTGGCTTCTTCCGGTGTACCACCGCCTCCTGTATCTCAGCTTTGGTCTCCTTGACTGCTTTTGGAAGTGCAGTCTCATACAGTAAGCCAGTCAGAGCACACGATGCTGAAGTGCAAAGGAATGGTAGGAGCATATTCAGGCGGTAGAGCCAGCCGCCGAATGGCGGCGCCAAAGCTCCCGCAGCACCGTTTAGGGAGCTCTGTATTCCAAACATGGTCCCCATGAGATCTTCTGGACAATACTCCCTGACAAGATGCATAAAGCCCATACCAATCATAGTTCCAAAGAGGCCTACCATGGAGATGCCAAAAGCATAAGGCACCCATGCAGCATTGGGTCCGAAGACCAGCAGCAGGGAGCAGAGCGAGCCACCCAAGGTCCCAGCGATGCAAAGTGGAAGGGCGCCGAAGTTCGTCAGTAGGGCCGGCACCCAGGCAGAGCAAACCAGTGTTGACACATTGGTCAACAAGTAGAACATGCAAGCCTGCTGACACAGCATCACTCTTTCACAATCTTCTTAACATTTGTTGGGTGAGTCAGAGTTCGCAGTATTGGATTGAGGGCTGCCAGCTGTGAAGTAAAGGGATGCAGGGTTTGAGGACATTATGGGCTAAGAAATGACAGGGGTCTAGTTGGGCTGTGCGCCGGGCCTTCTCCTTTGTGAAGCCAAAGCGGTCCTTGAAGAAGACCATCTCCGGACCATCCCCAATTGCAAATCCGAGCGCATAAATGAAGGACACCAAGAGCAAGCCACAAGCAGCACGGTTAGCGAACATGGTAGATACCTGCTCGCTGATGGTTTTGTCTGCACCCTCTGAACTGTCTGCATCTTGCTCCACTTGGATGGCTTTCCTGTCCTTCACTTCAGGTTTCACCTCCTCCCAGAGCATTGAGCCTATGAAAAAGTTCACCACATTGACCGCAACCACTCCAAGGCAAAGAGTCTTGAAATGCAGCTTGTCAAAGGTGCGAGCCACCAGCGGTCCCGCCAATGCCCCTGCACTGGCCATGACACGCTGAAGAGACAGGACTCTGCTGAGCTCCTCCTCCGAATGCAGGAAGTCCTGTTTGAGTGACTGCTCTTTCTGAAAAATTAAACAATTCAACGCATCTTGTATGGAGAGTTTGCCTGAACCTCATTTTCCTCTTCTTTTCTTCCTGCCAAACATCCCGTCTGCAAAGCTCTAAACCCTGCACAAACCTCCCCGCAACTGCTATCTTTCGCGTCATGAAAGCTATGCCCTCTTGCCTCCTAAAGAAACTTGGCCTGTGCAAGCTTAACCCAGGAAACTCTAGAACCGTTCTTTAATGTTAGAAGTCCATGATGTAGGCCATCTCCACTGGTCCGGTGCTCAGCGCCATGCCAACCGCCATGCGAGCGAGCAGCAGTTGCGTCAAGGAGCTGGATTGCGCCATGAAAGCATTGCACAGCATCCTTGATGCCAATCTCAGCGGTGAATGAGGACCCCGTGAAGGGTCGTTGTGACCCCAGTTTGCGATTCATAGAATCTCGACGCGAAGACGCATTTCTTTGGTAGATTTGGTGCATGCGCTTGCATGCCTTGGGTAGCTTGCATGCGCTTGCATGCCTTGAGGTGGAGCCAACTGGCACGGCAGTGGATGAGACTCCAGCAACCAAAGAAGTGCGTCTTCGCGTCGAGATCCTACGAATCGCAAACTGGGGTCACAACCACTCCATCGCTTTGACCCTTCACGGGGTCCTCGTTGACCGCTGAGATTGGCATCAAGGCAGAAATTGATTCCCTTGCCTGCTCCCTGCTCCTTAGCTGACGGAGCTGGTGGCACAGCATTGAGCCGGTGAATTGGGATATTCGGTAGAAACAAATTATACGGGCCATAGGCAAGTGAACTCTCATAAGCTTCTGAGATCCTTTGGCTCCGTTTGGGGGGAGAGCGATGGACAGGAAGTGGTTTCAAATGATTCTGACATAGTTCTGAAATGGTTCTGAGATGGTTTCGAAATGCTTGGGTATTTGAGGGGAGGGGGTAGGGGCCACATTATCGTTGTGGTTATCACTATCTTATCATTACCACTAGTATTCTTACTAGTATTGATGTTACGCTGCTATGACTACAACTGCTACTAGTACTGTAATTAATCATTATTGCGGCAGAAGACGCTGGGTATTCTTTTTGTTGGCATCTTGTTCCCAAGGCTTCCAACAAACAGGTTCCCACAGCGGCCCTCTTCCCAGAACGGATGGCAATGGTCAAGAAATCATCCTGAAATACGTTTGGCCTCCATGAAATTGATAGAAAATGGTTTTGGCCAACCTTTTGGGGAACGGTTGGACATGGACGGGCAATTGTGTTGGCATCCACTTGGGAAAGATCAGGAATGCATGGGAAATGGTTTTGAAAAGGTTCTGCCATGATTTCAAATGGCTTTTCATGATGTGGAAGTGGTTTGGAATCCATGTCGAGCCTCATGCCCAAGTAAAGAACATCTGTCAGGCCTTGCCCATTTCCGTGAAACGCAGCCA